TGTGTCATGGACCCTTTCACAATCTGGTGAAGCCTATGGCTCCTTTTCAGAATAATATTTTTAGAAGTACAAAAAACATAGAATTACAAAGAAAACCAAAGATTCGTGAAAATAAACATATGTTTTTTTCCCATCCAATTTCATGTACTCCCAAGTTAAGAATCCCTACCTTAGTAGATGGTCTCTGTGAATGGCTATGGTTGAAGAATTCATTACTCTGTGAAGAACTTCTTCTATTGATAGGGCCACAGTTTAAAGCCCTTTCCAGCTGGAAAGGACCTATTTACCAAAGATTTTTGAGAACATAGGTTCACCTCCATTTGTATAAAAATGTATGGCCCAAAGAGCAAATCTGGTCCCATAACCAGCTTTTGTACAGGCCATAGTTTGTCAGCCCTTGCTCTAAATGTTTAGCTCTATCAGTGTGCCTACCTTAGAGCTTCTAGTAGTTTGTGCCATGACACATACAATAAAAAAACCCTAATGAATGTGTAATGCTGTGTAGTGGAAGGAGCTCTATAGCATGAGTCAAAAGGATTTTAGTCCATTCTCTGATACCTAATAGCCTGTGACCTTGGACTTAAGGTCTTTGCCTGATCAGATTTTACAAAATTGGAGTAAAATAATTGTTTAAAATAACAGTTCATCCAACAAATACCTATTAAGTGACCTACTAGTCAAATAAACATTAATTACGCATCTACTAGGTGAAGAGCCCTGTGCTAGGCTTGAAGGACATAACATTATGACTCAGTCACTGACCTCATGGAGTTCAATATACTGATAATTACCAATAGTTGATAATTGAAGGTAACTATAATGGACAATGCTATCAGTTGGTCAGTCAATAAACAAACATTTATACATCATTTACTATGTGCAGGCTATTGTATTAAGTGTTGGGGATACAAAATGCTAGGCAAAAATTCTCTTTGTCCTCAAGGGGCATAGATTCTAATGGAGGAAATAGAAAAAATTCAGTATATGAGATATATAGGAGAGTATATGGCAGGTAATCTGAAAAAGCAAGGCACTAAAAGCTAGAGGACTGGTAAAAGTCTCCTGCAAAAGGTAGTATCTGAACCAAGTCTTGAAAGAAGTCAGGGAAACTAAGAGGCAGGGGTAAGGTAATGGAACATGGAAGGGCAGCCAGTGGAAGCCATGGATATAGGAGCAGCAACTTTGGCAATGTAGCTGGCTTCGGGAATGCATGGAGGAGAGTAATGTAAAAAAAAAAAACCAAACCAAAAACAAACAAACAAAAAAAACCAAACCAAAAACCAAGAAGTAGAAAAACTTTTCCAGAAGGAACCAGATCATGAAGGGTATATTACATAAAAAGTACACAACACAGTTTTGTAAAACTGCTTTTCTCACAACATCCATATGAGGTAGATAGTACAAACATTATAAACAGACCCATTTTATAGATAAAGAAATTGGGGATCAGAAATAATTAGTGTTAGAACAGTGGCTGACTTCAGATCTGGTATTCTTACCACTAAAATCATGTTGCCCCAAAGGAGCATATGGTCTATTAAGGAAGATAAGACAATACAAGTAACTAATAAAAAGGCAAAACATAATTATTTAGAGAGCTATATGTATTCAGAAGAGGGAGAGATAACTTCTGGTTGGGGGAATCAGGGAAGTTTTCATGAAGAATGGATTTGGATAGGCAGAGTAAGGGAACAGGGAGGTGTTTCAGTAAGACAAGAATGATATAAACTAAGATATGGCACAACAATGAGCAGTCAAGTTTGACCTGAGTATATCATAGTGAGAAATAAGGCTGGAGAGGTGGATTGGGGCCAGAGAAGGGCATCCTTTAGCGGCTGGCTAAGGAATTTAAAGATTCACAGAGTCTTAGAGCTAGAATGGCACTTTGAGATCTTTTATTTGAACTGCTTCCTTTTCATGATAGGAAACTGAGGTCCAGGGAGGGCAAATGATTTATTCCAAGGTCACATGGAAAGTTAGTGGTATGGTTTCCAGACGCTTTAGTCTGGGGATCTTTCTGCAATAAACAGAAAGCTATTGAAAATTTTTAAGAAAACAATTGCAAAGTGTTAATAACAATATTAAAGAATGCTCCAAATCACTAATAATTAGAGAAATGCTAACCAAAACAGCTCTTTGGGGGTTTCACCAACAGCAAACTGGCAAAGATCATAAAAGACGGGAGTAGTTAACAATAGAAGTGTTGTGTGAAGATGGATACGTTAATACTCTGTTGGTGACCAGTCAATCAATAAAACTATTTTGGAAAATTGTTTGGAATTATGCAAATAAAGTGACTAAAAAGTCATCAATCAAAAAGCATTTATTAAGAAACTACTATGTGGCAGGCACTGTGCTAAGTCTCCCCCAAATCTTCCAAAACCCAACAACAACAAAAAACCCAGCCCCTGCTCTCAAGGAGCTTACAGTCTGATGAGGGAGACAACATGCAAAGACATTTTACATATAAGATAGAGGATAAAGTGTAGATAGAGAATTCACACCTAAGTCTATACTCTCTGATCCAGAGATTCTATTACTAGGTACAAACCCTAAGAAGATCACTGTTAAGAAAAAAGTCCCAGTTAATTTTGGGCTCTGCTCACTTCTTGGGGGGACATCTGGCCTGAGTTTCTGTCTTTTTATGACTTTCTGCTGTTTTCACAGTTTAGTCTGGGGGCCTGCAAGATTTGGTGCTTAGCGCTTCCCAGCTGGTATGATGTGGAAAGAAGTTTGCTCATGGTCCACCTGGTAGGAGTTCTGTAAGTTCCTGAGAGAGGTTTGAGTGGATGTGCTTGTGTCAATAGCCTGCTGCTGGGCTCAATTACTGTTAACTTTCTGGGTGTTTCTGGCAGGTTCACAGTGATTGAACTGTCGTTTGGTGTTGGTTTCCTGCCGTGGTTTTCCACTGCAGGTTTATGTGCAGGGCTAAAGGTTAGTTTAAAGATTAGCAAAAGGTGAGTTTCTCCTCTGTTCTTGTGCTCTTGGCCCAAGATTTTTATAACTTGTCCCTTGCTTGTTACAATCTCAAGTCTCTCTCCCTTGTGCCCACTCTTCTTTTCTCTGAAATAGTGACCTGGAACTGGGTAATGGGTGACAGTGTTGCCAGCTGGCACTCAATCCTGTTCCCAGGCCTGGTTCAGGGGGCCCCTGGGATCTCTGTCTGCCCTGGTGCTTCCAACCCTGGTATTCAACCTTAGCCCCTTTACTGTCCTTGGGCCCTAGAATGCTTTCCACTGCTGCCTCTGCTGTCCCTGCACTGTGCTCTTGGTCAACCCTCACCCAGTGTCCATAGACCTCACTATTTTCTTAGGCTGCTCTGGACTGGAAAAATGACTCACTGTGATTTTTTTCTGGCTTTCCTGATCAGAATTTGGTATAGTACATTTTCTAAGTTGAAGACATGTGCTGACTGGGTAGAGCAAATATGCTCTCACTCCGCCTCTGATTTAAATTTTTTTTTTAAGTCTTTGAGAAAGGTAGTGACATGATTAGAACTGTTTTAAATAGCTTAATGTGATAGAAGTGTGTAAGAGGCACTGGAAATGGGGAGATGCTAGAGTTTCTTTTACAGATCCAGGCTCTATAATTACAATTTCCTGAAAAAGTCAATGCCTCAGAACAATTCTTTAACTACTAGACTGTACGCTTCATTAGGACAGGGATGGTATCACATCTAAAAATCATCACTCAATTTGAGACTCACAATTTCTCAAAAGAATTCACTCTATCAATACTGGGCATAACAAGTAGATGAATGCCTATTGTCTAGACTATTATATGTAGTTGGATGGATAACCCATAAGATTGGTTCATCAGTACACATATCTTGAAAAGGCACTGCATAAAGACAATGAGCTCAGTGGTCCAGAACTGAAAAAGAAAGTGGGCTGAATTGCTTTGGGAAACCAATCAGGGCCTTTAATGACCCCAAACTTCTCCCTGAAACAAAGTTCTACTCTTTTACATCAATATTCTTCCCAAGATGCCACATGGCTGTGTCACAATACCACAGCCTCCAAAGAATTAAAGTGGAAAGGGTAATTAGCAAAATACATGGTGGGTGTGAATAGGTTTACTACAACACCAACGAATTGTGTAAGAGAAGGAGCATAAAGGATGTCATTAAAGAAATGTATGACCAGAAAAGAATGTGGTTCTGTTCTGTCATATAGAGAAGGGGACAAATGATGGATCGTTTGCTTGCAACATCTGTATCCGTGCAATGTCACAAGGGCTCCATCGCCAGAGCCGCCATCGGAGCAGCTGGGTGGCTCCCGTGGGAGACTGAAGGGAGGCCGTGGGGTTGGACGGGGATGCACAGGACAAGACTCAGAAGAGGTCGTGATCTGTAACACTTAAGGTGGATCACCTACTGATCCTTCCAAGGGTCTTAAGTATCTGCCCTGTGGTCTAACTCAGATCTCTGCACACAGTAGGCGCATACTACATGCTTGCTGAATCAAAATGTAACTTTCAGCTCCTCCCCTCCCCTCAGCCTTTCACTGCTTTCGGGCCCTATTAAAGTGGCAATTCGGGGACTTATTGTAGTCTCCTTCAGCCTCGTATTCCTCCCAAAGCCCCTGGAGGCCACTCTCCTTCTCCTCTTCCTCCTCCTCCTCCAACCCCACCGCTCAGAAGCGGCTTCCCTAGATTTACCCCCAGGAGACCTTTCCCGCCCTCCCCCTCTCCTCCCAGTCGTGCCTCGTGGGAGGGGTTAGACGCCCCCCTCCCACTTCTTCCGTGCTTGGAGATCTCTCCACCACCCCCTCCCCCCGAGTCCCCTCAGTCACTTGCCTCTGACACCCCAGGGAGGAGGAGGAGGATGCCGCACCCACGGGGCTGCCCCGAGCCCTGTCAGCTCCCGAGAGTCCCGAAGAGGAGGTTTACATTCCGGGTCAGAGGGCGGGGCCTGCAAGCCGGCGGCTCTTCGCTTCCGGGGCGGGGCTGGCGCGCCGAGTGTGTCTCTGTCTCTCTCCCCCGCCTCCCCCTCCCCCCCACCCCGGCCGGCCCGAGCAGCAGAGGCGGCGGTGGAGGCGGCACCGGCAGGATGAGCGGTGAGTGGCGGGGCCCGCCCCGTGCTGCCCTTCCACCTGGACCCCGGGGCCGGGGCCGGGGGCCGGGGGGCCGGGGGGCTGGCCCTCGGTCGGAGCACCCCTTGCGGTCCCTCAGCTGTCACTGGCTCCTGCCTCTCGCTCCTGCTGTACCTGTCACCTGCTCCCCGGTTCCCCGGGCGGCTCAGCTTTCGCTCCCTGGGCCCCCCAGGGGTCCGACCTCCGGACGCCCCACGGGGTCTGACCCTTGCTCCTCAGGACTGCTACATGTCTGATCCCTTGTTCCACGGGACACCCACATTTCTGACCCCAGCGCCCCAGGACCCCACATGTCTGCTCCCCAGGACCCCCACATGTTTGATCTCCTCCCGAAGTCTGCTCCCTAGGCCTTCTGGGTGTCCGACCCCCAGCCTCCCAGGCCACTTACCTGAGCCTCCTACTCACTAGTATCCTCCTAGTCATATGAGCTCCACCTTCCCAGACCCCTCTACATCTCTGACCCTCCCTACCCCCATGGCCCCCTTGTGTCTACTCCGTGCTCCCCAGGGCCCTTCAGTTATCTGACCCTCAGCTTCCCAGTCCTTCTACTTGTCCGACCCTCCTGCTGTCCAGGATCTTCTCAGGCATCTGACCCATCCCCTGCTTCCCAGAGGGCCCCCTTCTCCATGTCTGACCCCCCTCTACTCTCCATGACCCCGGTGTTTACCCCTTGCTTCCCAGACCCCCTTAGTTATTTGACCCCCATCTTCCCAATCCCGTCATTTGTCTCATCTCCAGCTTTCCAGTCCTTCTACTTGTCTGACCCTACCCCTGCTCCCGTTGACCTTCTACTCTCAGTCATTTGAGCTCCAGCTTCCCAGGCGCCCCCACATGTCGCACCACCCCTCCCCTTCCCATGGCCTCCACATGTTATTGTTTGCTTTTTAGAAACCCTCCTCCTGGTCTTCTACTTCCCTGTCCCGCTTAGAATCATCCAGTCATCTGACCCTCAGCCAGACCCACCACATGTCTGACCCACCCACTCTGACCCACATAATCCTCATGTGTTTACCCCCTGCTTTTCAAGCCCCCTTAATTATCTGACCCGCACCTTCCGGTCCCTCCAGTGGTCTCATCCCCAGTTTTCCAGTCCTTCTAGTTGTCTGACCCTCTTACTCCCTAGTATTCTCCCAGTCATATGGTCCTTGACTTCCTGGTCCTTCTTGTCTGATCCTCTTACTTCCTAATGTTCTCTCAGTCATGTGACTCTCAAGCTTCCTAAACTCCACATATCTGATCTCCCCTGCTTCACATGACCCCCATATGTTTACCCCTTGCTTCTCAGGCCCTGTTATTTATCTGACCCTCAGCTTCCCAGTCCCTCTAGTTGTTTGACCCTCCTACTCCCCAGCCTCCTCCCAGTCATCTGACCCCCTGATTCCCAGTCCCCTCAGTTGTCTGACCTTCCCTCCACATGATCCCCATGTGTTTATCCCCTGCTCCCCAGGGCCCCCTAATTATCTGACCCCTCCCCCCAACTTCCCAGTCTTACTTGTCTGATCCTTCTAATCTCTAGTGTCTTCCTCGATATCTGACTCCTCTGCTTCCCAGTTTCCTTAGGTGCTTGATCCCTTTGCTCTTCAGGCCCCCTGCCCCAAGTTTACCTCTTTTGTCCCATGCTTCCCCCACCACGTGTTTATTCCCTCCTTTTCAGGTACAACCTCCCCTCCCCTCAGTCTTCTGATTCCCCGATTTCCAGGCTTTCCACTCTATCATCCTCCTACTTCAATCTCCTTTATATTATCTGACCCTGTGCTTCTGCGTCCCTTCCCCCAAATTTTCTAATCATCTACTCCTCTTCTCACCCCGCAAGTTGTCTGTTTACCCCTGCTCCTCAGGCTGCTGCCCCTCTGTTTCTCAGTCCCTCTCTGTTTGTCTCTTCCTCTTTGCCCCCTAGTCACTTCTAGTTGTCTGCCTCCTGCTCTTTAATCTGTTCTTGTTGTCTGACACCCCTGCTCCCCAGTGCACCCTAGTTGTTTCACCCCCTGCTTGTTCCCAGTCACTCCCAGTCGTTTGATGGCCTAGGCTCATGTTTTTCCTTTATGCTCTTCTGTCCTCCCTTCTCTCTGAAGTTATTGTTCTTTGGGCAATCTAGTTTTTCAGTCGCTACTATCATTTTCTTAACCCAGCTCCAACAGTCTCAGGAGTTGACCACTCTGTCCAGCTATCATTCACGTCTTGCCCAGGGTTTGACACCTTCCTTTCCTCTCTACTTTCTGTCATCACCATTAGCTGGGATTGAGTTTTGGGGTGTTCTACCCTAAGCTTCTTGGTTTGTGTGGAGGAGCCGGAGGCTTTGTTTTTTGGTTTGTTTTTGACTTGGCTCTAGGTTTTGGTGCCTTGGGTTGGCCACAGTCTCTGCTATTCTTGAAATGTGAAGGATCCTGCTCTTATTTTGTTGCTAAGTCATTCCTGAGTGTTTGTGTGTCTGGAGATGGGAGTGACTCAGGAAAACAATTGTGTGGATCTGTCATGGATTTATTTGTCCCAGCTGATCTGGGATCAGATTTTTTTAAAGTATCTCCTTTGGTCTGTTCCAGCTCTAAATCTATGGGGATGAAATAACTTAACCTGTCCAATCTTGAATTTCCTCATTTGTAATATAGATAGTAATATCTGTAGTACCTACATCACAAAGTTGTTGTGAATTGCATATGGTGATGTATGTGTTATGCTTTGTAAAGTCAAGCCCACAAGCATTTATTAAGGGCTTACTTAACTATACGCGAGGCACTGTGCTAAGCACTGGGAATAAGAGAGCGGAGAGAAATGAAGGCTTGGCTGGCCTGGACATTGCCCTTAAAATGAAGGATCTGGGAGGAACTGACCAATCAGAAGATGGGGTTGTAGGGGCAAAGAGAATTTCCAGGGTAAGAAGGCTATGATGGCATGAGGGGGAAAGTTTGTAGAATCAGCAATGGAGCTTCTAGAAAAGTAAAAGTAAATTTTGAAAAACTAAATCAGTTACTACATTATTATAGTTTTTGACTAATAAGATATGCATGCTAAGCAATTAGAAAACAAAATAGCATATAATTTATTTTTGTTGATATATTGTATTGTTTTTGGACAGACACTTCCCAACAAAATCCCCGCTCCCCTAAAAAATACATTGCCTACCTAATAGCATGATTCCATGCCATTTTCCATTTTCTGTAGTTTACCAGATCTTAACAGAAAGGACAGATGTGTACTTTAATTTGGTCAATATGATCACAATATTATTCATCTTATATGACTTGGATTTGTTGCCTTTTAGCATTAAGACAGTATACTATACATGCTAAGTTGTGTGAGAAAGGAAATATTTCCAGTGAGTGTTCAGAGAAGGGAGATTAGAACGAATTGGAGTTTACCAGGCCTCATGTGGAATATAGGACTTGACATGGTTCTGATTCATATCAATAGGCATTGCTTTAGTGTCTTCTGTGTGCTACATGTGAGATACAAGACAGGTATTACGTAGAGATATTAATTTCAAGGAGTTTGTAATTCTAATGGAGAAAACAGGTGTCTATTCTGATGCAAGGCCAAGTGTGATCTTAGATTTAGACCTAGAAGGAGCCTCAGAGACCATCTAGGCCAGCTTTCACATAAATTCAAAGAATAGGGCAAAAAACCATAAAAAATTGATGAGGGGGAGATCACTTTTAACCGAGAGGCCTCCCAGGTGACTTTGTAGAGGAGATGGTGCTTGAGTTATGACTTGGAGGAAAGGAGAGACAGCAATCTTTGTGGGTGTTTTCCTTTGTGCTGGTCTGATCCTGTCAACCCACTCTTTTACTCAGTATACTACAATGTTTCATATTACTTCTAGGATGAAATAGATTTTATTTAAATTTTTGTGTCAATATTCATTAAGGAAATTAGCCTATAGTTTTCTTTCTTTGTTTTGACTCTCTTTAGGATAAAATTTAAACTCCTTTGTATGACATTTAAAACTCTCCCCTTCCCCCTCCCCCTTATCTTTCTGGTCTTATTACACACTATTCCTCCTTCAAATACCCTACCTATGGCCCCATGTTGGCCCATTTGCCATTCTTACACGTGAAGGTGAGTTCTTTCTTTCATCTCTGTGCCTTTGCACTGAGTGCCCCCCTGCCTGGAATGCTCTCCCTCCTCACCTCATCCTTTAGTCTTTGTTTTCCTTTAAGACTCGGTTCAAATGCCACTTTCTGCAGGAGGCCTTATAAGATCTTGTCTTTATACTCCCCCCCCAGCCCCCCAATAACTCTTTAGTGGTTTTCCCTCTAAGGCTTCCCTTTACCCCCTCTAACTTCTTTCTATTCTGTATGTTTCTTTAATGTATGGATTTACCTACATGTTATCTTCCCTCATTAGAATATAAGTTCCCTTAGGGCAGGAACTGTTTTTGCTTTTTCTTTGTATCTCCAATGTCTTGGCATACAGTAAACGTGTAATGAACACTTGTTGACTGAGTGTGTGTTTTAGGGGGAGAGGAGAAGGAAGAAATCCATCCTGGTCTTGGCAACAATGGGACCAAAGGCAAGTAGAGGACAGAGAGAATTGGAATGGGAAGTAGTTCAGTTTGAGTGAAAGTTAGGATACATGGAGTGGCATGAAATAACATTGGAAAGATAGATTGGATTCAGATTGTTGAGGGCTTTGAGTATCAGGATCAGACATTTATACTTGGTGGTGAAGTGGGGAAGAATCCAGATTTTTTGAGTGTTGTAGTCAAAGCCGTTCTTTAGGAGGTTCTTTGCCTTTCTTTTCTGAAGTTGGCTGTGTTTAAGGGAGTTTGGGGAAGCAATTATAGATATCTTAGGGACTCCTCTACTTTGAGAAATATTGAGGTTTCTCCAGTGCCAAGGAATTCTGACTTGTTTCACGTCTACGTAACTTGATAGGATCCTACACAGAAAGGACTTGGTTTATTGGCCTGACTTGGGGAGTTCCGGGAAGAAGAATTGGTGCTAGGAGCTTCGTCATAACCTGTATCT